TACGAAAACTGCGATATTTTAGTAACTACTGAAGATAATTCACTCAAATGTGGAATTTTACATATGCTCTTTGTAATATAATACGCTAGAATTTTATAAAATGTTAATAAACATTAAATAAACAAAAGCCAAATACCAACAAAATTTATCAAAATGCCGCACACCCATTTTTTTTTTTGTTCATGAGTGTTTAAACATACATATGTATACTACTTAAAGTTACATTTTTTCCAAAACGCTTTTCTTTAAACTAATGAATTCTTGTGTAGCACTACTTTGCTCTTTAATAGCATTAACGCATTCTGCTGTTAAAACTTTTCCGTCGTCTATGACCACTTTTAACAGCTCGTTTCGCTCTTTAGCTAGTTGCACCACCTCACCCATATAATTTCTTTTCCTTTTAGAGGATGTGGAAGCTGCAGTCGAAGATACATATGTTCGAAGTGTCAAGTGGCGAAAAACTGGACAACACCACCGGCGACGAAAGCGGTGACGAAGTTTGAGGCGATGGTGACGGTAAAGGTACAGCGGTTGGTGACGATGGATGTGCTGCGGTTGATGACGGTGCAGCAGCAGCGTATGGATACGACTGAGGCACTGGGGATGGGGACGCTAAACTCGATGGTGATGGCACCGGCTGCGGTCCTGATGTCAATATATCCTAAAATTAAGAAGTTTTATGTATTTTTAAAGTTTTACAAATATATATGTACACATATATTTATGTGTGAAACTGAAATTTTACCATTGAAAAAGATTCTAAAATCTCAGCGTTGTTTGCTGCGTTGAAACCGATGATTTGGTGGACTGCGTCAAAATGTTTCCACAGCGAGGGACTCCCACCAGATGGTCCTACCTTTTTCTTTTCTTCTCTGAAATTTTGCGTACATTTGCAATTAGTGTTCAGAATGGTTAAATGGAAAATGACTTACCTATATCTTTGGGTCATGTTTCTGATTTTTATGTGGACCTCCTTTGCACTAAACTTTGACGCCATCTGTGTCGATATATCCGCATATATATGCAGATTGCGCTTCGCCCGTCGCAAGTCATCCGCACGTTCCGCCCATAAATCCAATAGCACTTTCTCGTCGCTGGTGCTCCAAGTACTGCGTTTTTTGTCGCTGGCCATCTGAAATTAGATATAATTCATTTTTTTAATATATTTCATTTATTTTTAACAAATTTTTTAAAATAACTTACTTCTGATATGCTTGTCTTCGGATTCTCTTTTAATTATTTTCGTGCTGTCAACCACAGTCACCATTCACAATAGAAAATATATGCCAATTTTGGACAGCGTTGCCAAATGCAAATTGGAAAATCTAGTATAAATGCTCATTTATTTCGTGCATTTCCATCGAGCCAATGCGCATTTGTGAGAGGATTATTCACGAGTTAAAGCAAATAAATGCTGCTAATGCAAATAATCCCATCAATCTGTCTACCGTATTAGACTTTCTTACTTGTTTATTTGCCTTTTTGACACATGTCGTAAGCTGCGTGAATCTGGCATACACAATTTAAAAAAAAATGTTTTTCTCAAAATATCCATAACTTTTTTCTCCTTTCCAAGAACTCTATAACTATTGGAAGGCTACTCAGAACAACTTTTTTTGTCGTTTTGCATCGTACCGTATGCCAACTTCCCAGACATTAATACGTTTCAAATAAACATGCCAAATATGAAACAAATCAGAGCATAAATACGGTTTTTCAAAATATCTCGGTCCTGGCCCCACCTAACGAGACCATTTTTGGCAAAAATGTTTCTGCTTAGATAACCAGTATGAACTGCGGCGTCTTGCCTTCGCCAACCGTCCAAATGAGCTCTCAAGGTATTGGCCCAATGCACGCTTGCTTTGCTTGCTTGGCTTTGAGAACTGTCAAACAATTTTTAAAATCTACTAAAATGTATGAAAGTTGGCCTAGTGGCAGCTTTACTTCACTTGCTTGAAGCGCTTTAAAGTATCGATTAGCCGAAATCTCTATTTGACAGCGCGCTGTAGGCTTTTGACAACTCTTGACATTTCAATTTTTCGCGTCGATTTTGCTTGTGTGCAGTTTTTATCGCGTTCTTCATCAATTTTAGGTAAAATAATTTATATTAAACAATTATTTGTTGCTAACAACATTATTT